CTCCACATGAATGTTCTTGAGGCTTTCAAATAGTACCGAGGAAGGATAACTCGTGTTCAGGCCGGATAGCCCCCCCATTCTACTTTGACTCTTCGCGCCTGCCTACGGAGATGTGCCTACGCCCTTACTACGCCCCACGCTTTACCCGTGCGTCTAGACGGTGCATCAGGCCGATGAAGCCCGAAAGTCTCCAGAAATGGCCTTTAAATTGCTTGAGTAACGATGCATGTTCCAATTGAGAAGCTTGTTCACTGCTGCGATGTAGGCACGGGCCGAAGAGACAACGATGTCTGTGTCTGACCCTGAGCCCGAGAAACGCTTGTTCGTGGTAGCACCCGACTGGCTATGGACAGCAGCTGACTCCAGTTGTGTTCCGATGCGAGGCTTAATGAGAACTTTGGTCGTGGCCATGGCATCAATTCCGGAGTTGACAGATTCAAGACCGTAACTCTCGAGGTCAACCTTAACGCCCGTCAGAGCATCAATCGCTTTGTACACTGCGTCAACAGGCCCAGACCCAGTGAGCGCAGCATGGCGTATGACTCCATCTGGACCCTGCATGGTGACAGTTCCTGTCGGGATGACTCCAGAACCTGTCGTTACTTGCGCACCAACTAGAGTCCAAAGTGCGCATGTGTTCTGATACGCCTCATCTGAGACAAGAGCCTCAAGTTCGTCATCATCAAGACCTCCCTTCTTGCGCTCGGCGACGTGCTTGAAACGCGTGAAGATGGCATCAAGTTTTAGCTTGTCATCGGCAATGTCGCCGTAACCAAGCTCAACGAGGCGAGTAGAAACCGCGTTTCGACCACTGTGCTTACCGAGTACGATGCCAGCACCGGATTCAGCCTGTCCCCGTGGCAGGCCAACGGACTCCGGAGTCATGATTTCATATGTTGCTTTATTCTTGATCATTCCATCCTGATGAATGCCCGACTCATGGCGGAACGCATTAGCACCGACAATAGCCTTGTGTGGTTGGATGGCCATGCCAGTGTACTCTGCAACCATCCGTGAACACGGTGTTATAAATGTTGTATCCAAGCCTGTCCACAAGCGTGGTCCGCCAGCGAAAGCATGTTCTGACGTGCCTCTCAGACAGAGCGCCATCGCAATTTCTTCAAGAGCTGCATTTCCGGCACGTTCACCAATGCCATTGATCGTACATTCAATTTGTCGAGCACCATTGTAGGCACCCGCGAGCCTATTGTATAGCATTCTCAGCGTTGATAACGAAGTACTCCAGAACTATAGAATTATGGGACTGCTGGACTTACGAATTGGCCGATGCAAGGCCAAGGTCATTTTGGCAATGTGTTGAAAAAATTATATCTTCCAAACGAGCACCGAGACGGCGACGTAAGGTGGCAATGAGTTCACCAAATTCCCATGGCGTATTCCATCCAGTTGTGTCTGGGATGTTTAGCCTACAAAGGTACAATATGAACGGTGAACATATGTATGAAAAGTCGACACAGTTTCCGACGTAGTGGCTCCAGCATCCACAACAGCTTCCAGGATCCGGACAAGGAAGTCTACCTACCGATTGACGCATCTAGTTTGTGCTCCCTTAATTACGTGCGGAGATGCGGCACATCGCTCCGCCCAGCATCTTCGGGCGAAAACTCAATGTCATCGCAACCGAGAGACCGCGCAAACTTGACAGCGTCGACTGCAATCTGGACGACTTCGTCAGGCGTCTTGCATAGCTTTGTCTCCATGTGAATGTTGGACGTAGCAATAAATGTGTGTAGGCGGGGTAACTTTGCACTTTTCACTGCATCCCAAGCACGTTCAATATCACGTGCATTGGCACGTGACAGACCGCAGATAACAGGTACGTATCCAGAGTCATCAACTTCGTTCCCCACTATTTGTGCAATCTGCCGCACCGCCTCAAAATCGTCAGGCGACGCAATTGGGAAACCAGCTTCGATCACATCAACTCCCAGCTTAGACAGATGCTTTGCAATCTCCAGCTTTTCTGACCTATCATTAAATAGTCCATATTATTCGAAAACATGAACCTCGACACTCCGCGACGAGACGATGTTAGAGTCGCGCCTGGAGACTGCTCCCCATCACGTAGAGTAGTGTCAAAAATACGAACATACCCGGGGTCCACGATCTTGCCAGGAATGTAGGGCGGTCGATGATTATGCACAGCAATAAGTCGTCGTGGGGCAAGTGTACGCAGCGGTGTCCATGCGGTAGCCGAGCAGACAAGACAAAAGAGATTCATCGGCTCTCAACTCGCCGTCGCCGCAGTTAACTAGGATATGTACAGGTAATCTTCCCGAAGGAGAGAGAGAGAATGGACTGCTATTTATTATTGCAGCCCAGTCGATACTCGCTCCTTATGCTCCTATCTGGCCGGCGTTGCTGAAGCAGCCTGCCGGCGGAGTTCTTCCTCCCCGTGGCCAGCCGAACCTATTTTAGAGAGAGGGCCCCGGACTGGGTTTCTAAAGTTAGTAAACTAGGGTAGTGGGGCCCGGGTGGGCCTTAAGGCCCACTCTACCTACCATTTATGCCAATTATTATCTTGGTTGACTAGAAAGCTACTTTCGCAGTGTGCGAAACAACCATAGAGCTAGCCGCGGCGGCCATAGAAATACTAAATATTGTTTTGCGGTCCCCATAGAGGCTGGGGTCGCCGGTTCGGGTCGGGAATCGGATGATATATCTCCGCGTCGTGTATCCTTTCGCGCTATAGGGGGGACCTCTGTTCCTTACACTGCTGGCAAGGCCTTCCCCCTAATTCACCACCTCGCGAGCGTTGTCACGTGGGCGCCCCGCCGCGAAGGACGGCCTCGATCCGCCTCATGCGTCGTATTTCCTCCTCTTGGCAAAGACGAAAAAACTGCGCTGTCTGGCGCTGAATAAGCGTCTTGAGAGTGAATCGCCCCACGAAGAGCTCAATCACGAGGTAAAATATCATGATACTGCCAGCAGCGCGATCAAAAGGAAAGACCTGAAAGTGCCGGATGTATTTTTAAAGCCTGGGTCCAGAACACAAGAGAATGCGCAAGACTCTAGCACAGTACGGGATCTTGGAGAATCGCGAAGAAAAAAACAGCAACGACTTGTGGGAACATCGTGAGCAAGAGGAATGCAGATATCATTGGTACACGTTCCTTGATGTTGCCGATGTATCCAAGTGCAACCCGGGCAAGCTCAGTACACGACCAAAGAAGAAAAATAGGTAGGGTTAAAATTTTTAAAATTCCATTTTGAAACTCATAGTTATAGATTTTGTTTAGGAGACAACCACCGCACACGACAAAGTATAACATGGAGAACCTAGCAGGTTGTAAATTTTACCACGAAACATAAAAAATCAAACTCACATGCCTTGGTAGAAGACAATCATCTGAAGAGACAGCGACGACTTAATCTCGACCATCTCGACGCCATGTTTATTTTCGGCGTGATACATAGCTATATGTTTCCACTAGGACCGGCCAACAGATGGCCAACCAAAATCGAGGATGTTTGCAAAAAGGGCATGCAAAAGCTGGGTGGAGAGTATGAGAATAGATATCTCCCCAATATCTCCCAGGATTTGCGACCGTGACACCGAAGTCGGGGTGCGCATGTTAGCTAGATAAGGCGATAGTACAGCAAGGGAGGGTAAGTGAAGTCTCTAGTTGAGTCGCTCTAATAGGCGGGGAGTATAAACCCGCCTACAACTTCGTGCAAGTGGTCGTTCTCGGCTAGGGACGAGTGCAGACTGAAGTCTCTTTCAAAGTTGGTCTGTTTGGGTATGAAACCGAGATCTGTGGTCTGTTAGGTCTCTTGGGGTATTAAACCAGGAGCCTCTTCGACGAAGTCCCGTACGTCTTCAGAAATCACAGATCAATGCTGGGTGACTAACTTGAACTAGGGTGCCAGTGTCATGCTCCACCTCTGATCCACCTCTGACTATGATACTGCTTGTTATTCGCATCCACGGTTTATGCTAAGGGGAATTACGGGGCTGCACCTGGAAAGGGAGCTCCTCGTGGCCAGTATAGTGAACTTGAAAAAGGGATCTATCTGAATAGAGCATAAGCTTGAGTCACCATCATCCCCATAATTTAGAGTCACCATCATCCCCATAATTTACATTACCTTGCTCCTTTACTATCGCGACGTCACACTATGGAGATGACACTGCACTCCCCCGTTACGTTGATATCAACGTCCCCCATTACCCTAGTTTGGGGTATCTCTCTCTAATGAGGCTGGAATTGCCGTGCATATATCCAAGGGCCTTACAATCCTCTGACATTTGCTTGGCCCAAGGGCCCTAAACTGCACGCCCACAGCAAGTGAGGCCGCTCGAAACGACGCAGATGCCGTGGATCGCTGCGACCGCGACAGCAACTGCCACCGCAGCGCTCACCTCCGGTAATGTGGCGCACCGACGCGCGAACGCTGCACGCACGCGCTGGGATCAACGAGGGCGCCCGTATGCACCCTTCGATGAGTCCGGAACAACCAAAAAACCTCCGTGCGCCACTACCGACCAGTTTTACAACGGCACACCCTCGATAGGTGGAGGTTGCTAGGTCTTTCGTAGTACTAGCCAGGGGCATGCCCGGGGGTCCACAAATCGGCGCATTCGCCATACGGCGCCGCAAGACGCAGCCCATCTAACTTTCGCCTCCCCCGAAATCCCGGACGTCTCCCAAAACCAGGCCAACGGAGGCGGAGTGGAGCCCGGAGAGCGCCGGGTCCAATGACCCCCATAGCTTGCAGATGGCCGGTGAAAAGTAGCGGCCGGTTGTTGGGGTCCTCGAGCTGGCCGGCCTGAGAGTGCCCCAAAGCCCACCCCCCGGAGGCCGGGGTTGTCGTCCCTGTTCACTCATGACCAGGCCAAAATGGACTAAACATCCGTAGGCTTGAGGAATGGTGGCCGCGTGCGCGATCAATCAACGGCCTCTACACTGCCCGAGGCGAGTGCAAGCGGATTCATGAAGGATGTTGAACGACCATTTGCAATATTCAGGAAACATTGAACGGCCCTCGGTGCGTCAACTAACACATCCTGCGCAAGAGCTTGCAACACCACAGTACTGATGTCCAAAGAAGCCTGAGCAAGCACGTGGGCTAGCAGAACTCTATAGAGTTCTGGCACACGAGAGTGCTGACCAGGGATAATGTGATACTTAAGGCAGACCTCGAGATCATCGTACAAGTCGCATGCTGCTATGGCAGCAGCATTTGGCTCACAAAGCACCAGCGCAAACAACAGACGGCACAGGTTCGGTGATGGCGTGTTTTGAATACTCATGTCCAGACTTTGAAAATTGCTTGTAGAACTCTTAGAGCAGTGTTCGTTGCCAAGAGACCCGTCCGTGGCCTTGAAGTGGAGCCAGGTCGCCCAAATAACGTCCGCTTGGTGTGCCTAAAAGATAGTCAGAATCTTTGACAACACAGCATACTATCACGGAGGCGCGCTTGGCTCGAGCCAGGAGCATTGAAAATTTTGCAATTTCCAATCATGATTTTGACGTCGTGATCCAAGGCGTGAATCGAATCATAAACATGGTTTTCATGTCTGATCTTGGACCAAATCGTACCAAGATCGATTGACCTTCGCACAACAGAATAGTAGCCGGGAGCCTGTGTTGTATTTGCAAATGGTCATCTGTTGGTAGATTAGTAGGAAAGATCACGGCTGAATACGATGAGATTAGTGACCGGTACTGCAAATAATTTCGATTTGTCAGCTTTTTCAAGCTGCTTCCAGCTATTTTCTAGGCCTCTTTGGAGCTTTTCGATTGAAAGAGTCGTAAAACTTTGACCTTCCTTAGGAGCATTTGTCGGCGGGTGGCTCCCCCCCAATTTCATTGCGCTCTTGAAGCGGTGGAGAATGGGGCTCCCCCAACTCCCGGTCGTCACTGCCATGTCTAAGACTCCGGCAATTCGACGTGCTGAGTTCGTTGACTGCAGCTTGGTACCAAGGATTACATCTGTAAATAACACAGGAAACAGTGAGGCACGACTTGCAGCTGCGTCGCGTTTCATGCCCCGCCACATAATCATGGCAAAACTTCTAAGAAGCGCACCATCATCATGCCCAACAAGTTCGCTCAGCATTGTGTACAGCGGTTGATCTATTGCACGTCGTGCGGTAGATCCAAAACGTGCCAGGGTCCCACGGGCTGCTTTCCAAAGGCTCTTGCGAGCAATCGGGGCAATCTTATAGAACCATCGCTCTATTAGAGGAGCCAATGTGATCCGGAGGCGAATGGGCACTACAAGACAACACCTACGATAGCACTTTGGGGTTCGGGGACGAATATTTTCTGGGAAGCCGCGACGACTTCCAACGGATGAGTCTTGGTAGCCTGAGAAAGGCATCTTCCGGCCAGTCATGCACCATCTTGGCAAGTTCACTGGGCAGACCTCCAGACCAAGTCTCTAGCAGCGTGGCTGTTACCGATCGACATTCTGAGAGGGAAGAAAATGACCACGCTGCCTCGAGTAGGGCTTTGCGAATTTCAAAGCACATGGCTGGTATTGCTACCTCAATCCGGCGACGCAGTGCCTCTACAATCGCTACATATGCAGTTCCACATCCACGTCCACCATGTGGAACGTAGAGTAGCCCCAACGCCCCCATAACCTCTGAGGGCAACTCTCCAGCAACGGTCATACTTTCAGATCGCCAGTATTCCAACGCTCGATGGACCTGGCGCACTGCGAATCAATGGCGCAAAACTTTGTCGACCTAGCTTACCTTAGTCGAATGAGCCCAATCAGTGTGATCTCGAGCAAACCAGGCATTCAAAGAACTTGAATGGTAATGGTTCATGCTTCAGGTCGTTAATCTGTAGACCATCCCCGAAATCTTAAAATTTGCTTTGCTGCATGTAGTGAATTAGTGAATTAACATGGCCTGGGAGATTCTTTTTTCCTGGCCAACTTGTCAGGCCTGGGAGATTCTTTTGGGGCGAACCAGGCCTAGGAGGTTGTTTTGAGCACATTTTAGTTCAATTTTACTTCAACTTTACGGCAAGTTGCCTTCTAGGAGATTCTTTTGGGGGCTGAGCCGTCCGAAAGTGAACTAGCCGCAAACTCAGCTTCGTTGGGTTTCCCGTGTCCAGCTTTACTCAGGCGCCGGGGGCCCGGGTGGGGTCCAAACTAGAACGCGTCGTATTTCCCGCGGCGGCATAAGCCGTGGGGAAATAGAGTACGGGGGCAATGCCCAACCAGGTCATACTAGAAGTGCCACAACTCGCTACGCCAAGGCACGCATGGGGTAAGTTTTCACACAGCCTGCGTTCCATGTATTGCTCCACATAGCGATGCTCTATTTGGCCATTTATCCCATTGTCTTACACGCCGCTCCTCGTGGTAATGCCCATGGCGCCCTTTGCATCATCCAAAGTTTTAGTTGCAATCTCGTCAGCTCGGTGTGCACCTTGCTTGAGAGTCTGTGACAGAAAGAGCTGATCTGCGGCAAGCTCTTTATACGCGCGTTGGATAGGATCGAGGTGAGCGATGATAGCATCGGTGAGCCTGGGCTTGAAAGCACCCCAAGAGAGGTCAGAAACATCACGCAGGATTACTTCCCGTTCAAGACCAGTGACAGATTGATAAATATTGAGAAGATTAGTGGCCTCTGGGCGATTAGGATTGTCCCACTCGAGACCTTTCAGTTGGTCAGTCTTGCACTTCTTGATCTTGGATGCGATGAGGTCTGGTGAGTCGACAAGGTTGATGCGTGAACCGTCAATTGGTGCTGACTTTGACATCTTAGCTTTACCATCTGCAAGAGACATGACTCGTGCCCCCTCCTTGACAATTAGCGCCTTGGGTTCACGAAAGACTCTGCGCTTCCGCTTGCAGTATAGGTCATGGAAGCGTCGCGCAATGTCCCGTGTAAGCTCTAGATGCTGGCGCTGGTCCTCACCAACCGGCACGAGATCTGCTTGGTACAGTAGTATATCAGCGGCCATGAGGACGGGATAGTCGAAGAGTCCAACCGCAACGTTTTCTCCTTGTTTCTGTTTCTTCTCCTTGTACTGGATCATTCGCTCAAGCCAATTCATTGGCGTCATGCAATTCAAAAGCCAGGCGAGTTCTGCATGTGCACTTACGTGGGACTGCACGAAGATAGGTGCAATATCTGGCTCGACACCAGCCGCGATGTACAACGCCGCAGCATCCAGTGTCTCCCTGCTCAAAGATTTTGCATCATGTGGCATAGTTATCGCGTGCAGGTCAACTACACAAAATAGGCTATCATATTCGTGCTGATACTCAACCCACTGTCGAATAGCGCCCAAATAATTTCCCAAGTGCAGTGACCCCGTCGGCTGCACCCCACTCAAGACGCGCTCCCGCCTCGCGGTCCGGTTTGCCTCGCCAAACCCCGAAAGCGAAGATCGAACAATCGTGGCACGAAACCGATGCGATTTTAACCCTGAGGGCCCGCGGCACAATGACCGCTGCATCGCAAACGCCCGAGCGGACACCAATGTCATGACGACCAGCATGCCACGTCTAACTCGTAAACAGCACCTATCAGTGTCCCTTTCTTCGTCCTGGCAGTGCACATACAGTACGGCGTGGACGACGGTGCCCCTGGCCCCGCTCCCAGTGCGACGGCCGCTTGATGCCGCCCTCGCCCGTCCAGTCGACGGCGGCGCGCTTGATCTTGTACTTCGGCGCGTCGTGGGCGGCGCGCCGCGCGTCCGTCTCGAAGCGTCTCCAGACCATGCGCACGCAGCGGCAGCGGCACACCGTCCTCGAGGTCCTCGGTCCGCGGCCGCGCCGTATCCCGCGCCGCCTCCTCGCTCCCGCCGGAAGCGGTCCTGGGTCGTATCATCGTGTGCGCTAATTGGCATCGTGTCGGCATCTTGACGATATGTTGAATGTGTGCTCTCACTGCTCTGCGGTGTTCTCCGGCTATCGATATCGACTGAATTGAATCGCGTTGAAGCGCCGCTGCGCATGTTATGGGCTGCGCCCGGGGCCCCGGGGGAGGGTCCGGAGTCGCTCTGAACACCGAGTAACGGTACAGTGCGTCTCAGCGTCCACGACATCGTGCGCGCGTCGCGTTACATCGTTGTCAGGTGGAGACCTTGGTAGACAGTCGTTTCGTGTGGTTTATGTACGAATTCGCCCTTTCCGGGTGGAATCAAGATGCTATTTCCGGACGTCCGCTGCCCTTGATTGTGGGTTCGAATTTTCACGCGCGCGTGATGACGACGGCGGCGGCGGCGGCGGCGGCGGCGGCAGCGGCGGCGGCAGTGCAACGATCCCAGGGCTTTGAGGTCCGCAAACATGCGGGTCAGGCACATAAAAAGACGCGACATCCGGACGATTGCGAGGCGACGCAAACGGGCAGCCCCAGGGGGTGGAATGAGGCGCGGCAGCTTCCCCCGACCCGATTTTCGGTCGTCTTCGAGTCACAGAGCGTCGGGAATCGTTCATCATGAGGGCGATCAGATGCCCTCGCGGCAGCTCTTCGGCTCGAGCCGATTTGATCGAGATCACCTCACCGGCTCCGGGAGGCGCGCGGCGCCGCGGGTGACACGGCGCTCACTGCGCAATGCATGAGGCGTTCGGGCCGCTGCAACCTTGACAGGCCACTCGGGAGGGACATTCCAGGGGGGGTTTACTCGAGATGCAGCGGCCCGCTCGACCCCTGGAACTAAGCTGGGCCCCTCGTCGGTCGCCCCCCACCGTTAACGGCCGTTCTCGTCATCCACGGGCTGCCCCGACGCGAACTTCGTAACTATTAGTTGCTCGCCTTCGACCGATGGTCTTTCCCGAGAGACTCGCAGCCGGGCCAAAGGCGCGACATGGTCCACAGACCAAGCGCCGCGCCAAGTCCTAGAACCGCCGCTTCGGATGCCCGAGTCGGAAACCGAGGTCGCGCTACAACTTCATGATGTCACGGCCGAGCGTCAACAATCGAGCAAATCCACTTCAAGTTACGACCTGTGTTTGGCTGGATGATGATAGGTGGTCTACGCTCACTGGCAGTAATTCGTTACGGGAAACATATATAACTGGACTGAGTGTAGGGCAGGGCGGGTTCTTCATTTGCGCCGCAGGAGGGTGGTGGGTAGTCTCGGGGAAGGGGATGACATGGCGCATGCCAAATCCTAAGTCTGAATGGAAGGCCGACAGGCACTCCTCGGCGGCGTCCATAGCGGGCCAAAGTTCGAAACACCTCGATTGCGGGAAATTTCGGCTCGACTATTCTCTACGTGTAAAAGACCATAATGTGTGCGGTGTAGTGATGGTGAGGGGTGGGTGAGGGGTCGCATCGCCACGATCGTCGCGCGCAGGCCCCAGGCTTTGTAGGCTTCATCTCCCATGTAGTTGAAATGCTTGAGGGAGCTCTAGCTGTGTTTGGGACCCACTCGACCCGGCCAATATCCCGGGGCGGCTAGCTCCACGCATATAGTCCTCGCCGCGCGGCTGGCGCCTGGAAAAGTTCTGCTTTTCAGCCTGGCAGCATGTTAGAATGTTCTGGGGTGCGACCTTGGTCCGGGGCGCCCCCCGAGCGCTCCCCGGCGCTGCGAGCTGTAGGATTTCAACACAGCTATTGGCTTGCCAGATTCGCTAGCGGCTTTCGAAGGTACGCCATGGAGCTCCATTTTATTATGCTGATGTCGTGCCCCCACCTTTGGGGCTCAAATAGCCTGGTGTCTATACATGTCCCACGGCTGCCGCCGTCTTTGCATGGGCGTTGAGTTTTTCAACAAGGTTGGTGCAGCATTCCTTGACGGCTTTGTAGTCAGTCTCACGACCTTTACTCTCGACATATTCTTGTAGATGAAAAATGGTTTGACCGTACGTTCGTAACTTAGCTTCAAGAGTTGAGAGAGCCTTGGCAGCTTCTGAGGCCTGAATTTTACCCTTGAGAGCTTCGTACTTCGCTGTCAAATGCGTGACCTACGCCATAGTTATCAGCTCGAGTTGAAGCGTGCTCTTTGTCAAAGCACCTGGGATTTTACAGACTCACGACGACCCTGATATTCTTTGAGCAATCTAGAAAGAGCACTCATTGTGGCTGCTGCACGATGGCGGAGACCTTCGACGTCATCAAATTCAGTCATATCACTTCTCATCACCTCCATCTTCTGCTGCAGTGAAGATAATTCAATCTGGATCTTTTCATCGAGATTTTCAATTTTAATCATCTCAGCTTCCCGCTGTTTGCGCTCCTGAATTAGGCGCTGAGTAGTTTGTTGACTAGACTCGAGCTGGCGTTCTTTGAAGGTCGCCTCGTCGCGCATCTCACGTAGGCGCTGCTGCGAAGGCATGGAATGCTGTTGCTCGAGACCCTGTGACACGTGCTCAAGGAGGGCAACAATGACATCTTGGGTTTGCTGCTGGTCTCGCAGTGTTGACGTGCGCGTGGCTTCAAACTGGGAAATAAAACTCGACATTTCGTCATCTCGTTGTCGTAGCTTTTCGTATTTGTCCTTGTCGCCCCCAGATTCGCCTTTCCGTTCCTTGAACTCATCGTGGAGTTCGACAAGCTGCTTCTGCGCGACTGCGGTTTTGTCTCTGAAATCCTTCGCGAGTCCGTCGTACTCTTTAAGCCCTCTGGACTGTGTCTCAACGCGTCGTTTGAGCTTGACTAGCACCTCTTTGGGATCGACTAGCTCCCAGATCGCGAGTTCGTCGACAAGGCTACGTTCCTCGTTCTGCAGTCTTGCCCGTCGCTTCAAGAGATGCGCATACTCATCCGAGTATGATTGACGGTGACTTGGGCCCTCGAGATCGTGTATCCGAGCAATCACAGCATCCATTTCAGTTAGGGCCACATCTTGTTTGCCCATGAGCTCTGTAGACTGGTCAAGAAGCCGATTATATCTATTTAGCTTTTCAGGCTCGAGGTCATTGATTTTTCGCTGTGCAAGCTCGTGCAAGTCGCGGATCTGTGCGTCAATTTGCTTGGTTTCCTCGTCTTTTTGTTTCTTCAAAACAAAAATTCGATCGACCTCATTGGCAAATTGCTTGTTCTTAGCCCGAAACTCAGTGATGTATTCGTTGAGCTCGCCGGGGTCGGTGCCTGTGTGAACGTAGCGCTAGGGCCCACTAGAGACGGTGTGACACGGGGGCGTGCTTACGCGAGCCTTGTCCATGGCTAGATTGTAGTCCGCTAATGTGCCCTCGAGAGCACGGACTTCGTTGAGCAGAATCTCATGGCGTTTTTGAAGCCCGCCGTACTCATTCATAGATCTTTCGTGGTGTTTGTGCTCCGTTTGTAATGCGTGGATTTCATTTGTCAGTTCTGTGACCTGTGGTGATCTAGTCAACAAAGAGACTCGAGGCAAATCTTACTTTACTTCTTAGGATTCCGACGTAATAGGAAGAGTCCTGGACCTGTCTCGCTGGCCCTTGAGCTGTCTTCATCCCTCGCATCCCCTGCTGTGTCACAGGCCTGTCAGACACATTTACAGTTGTCCCAAGAGCAACGCCCTGCGCCGCGGTAGTTCCCATAGACGAAGTTAAATTTCCACGGGTCCCAATCATTTGCCGTGACATCGCCGTCGAAATCGGTCGACCCGCCGAAGAATGCATTGTTTTAAACACGGAGCACTCGCCGAGCGGTGTCAGTTTAACAGATAACAATTTAAAATGACCAGGATACTTTCAGAGGCCGTTCGAGCCGATCGCATCGGGAATCGATGAATTCAATAGCAGGCGTTATCGGCAGGCGAAGCATGATTTCAGCGCAGTGACTTCCCTGCGGCCGTTCGCGTACTACAACTCCCCGCAAAAGCTCGCCGCGTCGCGCCGACGGCGCGGAACGCGGCGGGGGCCACGAAACCGGGCGCCTCGCGACGAGATAATGATTTGGTATCTGCGGAGTTCGCATCGCTGCGCTGCAGCACGTCGGCTGGCCCAGGCCGAGGCATAACATCACCGAAGGCATCGTTGCAGCGGTACGTCGCTCGGGCCGTCGAGGTGCTGCGCGGACGCGATCGGAGACGTTGCGCGACCGGAGACGATTTTCCTCGCCGACGCGTTAACGCGGGTCCACGAGGCCCCCGGCGACGCACTGGATCTGCAACGCGCTACGCACCGGCCACGCGGGCGACGTCGTGGGCTTCCTGGTCGAGGGGCGGCCGGGATCCGCGCGGGGCCGCGTGCGAACGATCTCAGCTGCTGCGGGCCCAGGGCGCGTCGCGGCGCCGCGCATCGAGGTTCGAGCGTCACCGGCTGCGGCGACGTCTTGTACGCCCCCGGGCGATGGTGACGGCCGCCGAATCGCCTCGGGGAGCGCTGGAGAGCGACACTGCGGGGTCAAAACTACCAGTATATACACAGAAGCCCTCTTAATTGACCTACTAGTATAGCGTACCGTGGGGACGACGCTGCTTCGCCAGCGAATGCGGACCTCGAAGTCACTGGGATCGTTGCACAGTTCCGCGTTCCGGCGGCGCTGCAGGGCCATGAGCACCGCTCAATGATCATACTCGCGCGAGCGCGCGCTTCGGACGTTGCATATCCAAATACATGCACGAGAATCTAACTCTTGGACTCGGACAATTGGTTTGCCGGGAGCAAACGATAAAAAAATTTAACTTCCGGCCTTATTACTGAAACTGGGAGCGGGCGGCTAAAATAAACTTTATATACGATATATACGACGTATGGAGGCCGATCCAACAAGGCTATACCTTTTGAGTGTGCTGTTTACCAATGATCAAGTCCTCACAAGTAATGCAAATGCACATCTCAAAGAAGTTATTTTGCGTCGAGATGAAAGGTTGCTGAACCTTGCGCAAATCTTGGATTCTAGGAGTAATTTGCCCAATGCCACGCCCATTGATGTTATCCATGACGTCATCCAGGACGAGGCCCATGTCCTATACACTAAGCTTTTCGAACGGTGCTCTCTAGATGTGGCAAAATCCCTTAGTAAGACTGAGCGCGAAGCCAACGACCTCGAGGACGAGAAATCGCTTATATATGGAGAAGTCGACTTTAAGTGCGTCACGCGCCCTGCGTCGATATCTATTGAAAGTGCGCCAGGTACTTTGCTCGCGTCATTCGTAAGATAAACCCAGGCAAAGGAACTAAATTTTATGACCTCGGCAGTGGCTCTTCGAAGGCACTCTTCATTGCGCGGCGAGCCAACATGGAAACTCAGTACTGCCCAGATTTAAAGTGATCCCGGTATAGGCTGCTTCGCGACTTTGACTGCTGTTGTGGTGTCGAGGTTCTTGCGGGTCTCCACACTGCCGCACACTCAGTTGCGAGTGAATTCAGCGAAAAAATTGCTCCGATGCTGGACTTGAATACATCCCAGAGGGTCTACTTACAATGCGCGTCATTCTTGCATGTAGACTGGTCCGATGGAGACGTTGTTTTTGCAAACTCCACTTGCTTTGGGGATGAGCTTATGTTGGCTATGACCAGACAGGCAGAAAGACTCAAGCCCGGCTCCATCTTTATTTCATTTACAAAGCGTTTGAATTCTAGCGCATTCGACATCCTTGAGAGGAAACGCTACTGCATGAGTGAGCATCAGATACCAAGACATAGAAATCGAATAAGCCACCTTCCTTAGGCTGGGGTCCCGCAACTGTATTTGTCCAAGTGCGCAAAACTCATGATGGGACCTCCAGCTTCATGACCAGCCTTGTTGACATAACTGGTGATAGCTCATACGATGGTGATATCACGGAAGCATGTGAAATCAACATGGCCAAAGGCTGTGTATCTGCAATAATATCGCCACCCACTAGCTTATATCATGATGTTGATTTAGTAGATTTCCCCCGCCTTCGTACGCTCGCCAGCTAGTGCGCATCACAGCTTTTTTCTTCGTCCAAGTGACAAATAGTATTCTGCGACATCGAAGTCGATTCCCAGTTCAGCTGGATCGAGGGCCGGCGTAGATGCAAAGGGAAACTCAAGGGAGAATAGCAAGCAAGCCCAAATCAAAGCAAACAAGGGACGCAGGGATGTTGGCTTTTCCGGTCCGCAAGTAGGACCGAGCGTCCGCAAGCAGCCGACGTCACTCCTCCCCACCGGGACGACCGTGAACGGAGCCTGCCTTCCTGAAACAGGGTCCGACGAGTCGGGCTGCAGGTGGGGTGGGCCCTAACCAAGCTCATCCAAACTGTCTCTACCCGGCATTATCTGAGCGACCAGAACTAAACTCGGCAATGCTCGAACACAGGGGTCCTTTGAATGCGGGAAATATGGCGCTTTCTAGTTTTGGGCCCGCCCGGGGCCCGAACGCGGGAAATTCGACGCTTTCTAGTTTGGAACCCCCCCCCCCCCCCGGCGCCTGAGCAAAGCCCGCAGCTGCCGACCCAAAATTGTCGGTGGCGTTTCGGGTTCCTTGGGGTCCCGTCCGGCGCAAGGGGGTTTCTGGGCGAGGTTCTGCCCCCTGTACTAATGGGAAGTTAAACAAACTGACACAAGCCAACTCACGAAATCTAGTTAGCGGCCGGAGGGACGTGTACTACACCTCCTGAAAATTTGCCGCGCGCGCGCGCGCGGGTCTAGTGCGGGTTGAAAGTCAACTTGTCGCGAATACTTTTCTTGAAACGATCCTCACGCCCGAGTGTCTCAAAATGTACGACGCTGCCGCACTTCAAGATACAAAACCCCAGGATCCTTTCGTTTCAAGGGTTTGTTTTTCGCACTGGATGGACCAATAAGAAACCGGTGACCAGCATTCGACGCCTCGATGGGAAAATGACTAGAGGTGGGAGGCCACCACTACAGCCGACGCCGTAATATTCGATAATCCCAAGTCCCTCGAGCTGACCCAGCTCTAGGTCACGAGCAATTACCCGAGAAGCGGTGCTGCCGACCCAGATGACCCAATTCCCCCAGCGTCATCCCCTAGGATACCAATCCCCCGTATCCTCCTCCTCCTTAACCTAGCCTATAACGCCAGTGCTATGGTTCACCTCATTTGGGTCATGCTCCCACAGCGCTACTACCTGTGAAGCTAACCTGCTACCTACACATACCTGCACATCACGCAGAGCCTGCACACGCAGCGCTACAACAAGAGCGCGGCGCCACAGCCGCCGCCGCTCCGCCGCGCGCCGACCGCGCGGCAGCGCGCGCTCTGCGCGCGGGATCATCGCGGCCCCAGCGCCCGCCCCATCCACCCCGCCAGCGGCTGCGCCGCGCGGAAGAGCCCCAACAGCTCCAGGGCCTGAAGTGCGCCCTCAACCTACTCCACGTCGCCCAGCGATGGCGACCGTCGACGAAGAGTTCCGGCGACAATACCGCGACGTCGCCCCGTTCAATCCCACATCAAAAGATCGGGCGCACAACACACAGCAGTTCATCATATTCCTGCAGAAGATGAGCCAGGTGCAGCCGCTCCTGCGCGTCCTCGTCAAGGCGACGAAACCGACCTTCGCCACGCCCCGGTCCGGCGACTACGACACGTACGTCAACGGCCTCGAGGAGGACCAAGGCGCCATCTTCGAGTCGCACCTCTTGTACCTCGTCTCGTCCAAGACGGCCGGCGTCGCGCAGCAGCTCGCCTCGATCGAACTGCTCGAGCACAACTCGGCGAAACGGGCCTTCTTCGAGCTCATCGAGCGCTACACGCAGTGCAAGGACGGCGGCGCCGCAACGCTTAGAATGCTCCAGGGCATGCGTTGGCGGGACCACCCGTCCCCCGACCGCTTATACGTCGCCATCCGCACCGCACCGGCGCCGGCCAGCCCAGCCGAGGCCATGCGGCAGCTCATCAACGGGTTGATGCGCACGCTCGAGGAAGACCTTGACCTGGCTCCGGCCCTTGGCCGCGGCGACGCGAGCCATGGAGCGCGCCGTGAAGCGCGAGTGCTCCCGCTGGCCCACCTCCACGCCGTTGAGGTCCGCGAGGTCCACGGAAGACTCGTAGGTCTGCAGCGCATCGTGGCGCTTCGCCATGGAGAGGACGATGCGAAAGAGGTTCGCCATGGCCTTCTCCTCGCGGAGCTCCTGGGCGCTAAAGACCGCGTTGAGGACCGTCTGCCGCGTCGAGTCCTCCTCGCGCTCGACGCATCGCTTGTGGAGCGTGCAGACGTCCCGGCCGTCGCCGCCGAAGTGCGACGCGGCGGCCGCCCGTAGCGCCTTCGCGTCGTCCGTGTCGCGCAGCGGGTTGGACGCGCCCTTGAGCCACTTGCTCCCCGTCGAGCGGCCGTCGAGGGCGACCTCCTTCCAGTGCTTCGAGCACGTGTAGCAGAAGACGCGGCCGTCGGGCGTGACGCAGGTGTGCTTGGCGTGGGCCTCGAGGCCGCGCAGCGCGGCGCGCCCGGCCACGGCGTCATTGGCCGCCGCGACCTGGGTCTCGAGCGCGTCGGCGGCCGACCGCGCGTCCCGCGCGACGCGCTCCATCTCCGCGAGCTGGCCCTGGTATTCGCGCCGGACGCTCTCGGCCTGCTCGGCGTAGGCCGCGCGGCACAACTTCTGCATGGACTCCATCTCCGCGCTGAACTGCGTGTGCAGCTGCGTGGTGAAGACGCCCGCGAACTGCTTCGCCAACCAGTCGACGTCCGCGCCGCCGTTTCCCAGCGCCTGCACGATCCCCGCGCTCACGCCGCCGGCGACGCCCGGTGGAAGCGCGACGGCTGCCGGCGGCGGGCCCGCGACGCGCGCCGACGCCGCGGCCGCGAGGTCACGTTCCTCCTGCTCCTTCGCTTCCTGCGCTTCCTTGAGCTCGCGTTTGCGTTTCCGCTCGGCCTTCTCGTCCTCCGCGATCTGCCAAGGCGTTCGGACTGGGGCCGTGTTGTCAGGTTTCGCCTTCTTCTGGTAGGGGCCGCGCGACGCGCCGCGCTTGACGCCGCTGCCTTCGCCTCCCATCGCGTCAGAGAGGTCCCTCGTCGACCGCGATGTCGGCAAATTGCATGATGAGTTCATCGCGCCTCGTTTACCTTCGTCGGGGATCTGCGCCGCCCGCCAGTTCCGCGCGGGCTTCGGGCTTCTTAAAACACGCGCAAACGTCGAAAATCCGCGCTATGTTTACTTCAACTTTACTGCACGTTACCTTCTAGGGCGCTGGAGGCCGGTAGAGTATACCCTTCGATGAACTCGGACGGGCGAGCGCGGGACACGCATAGAGACGCGCCGCTCGACGGGTTTTAAAATCTAGCCGAGCACCGGTTACCTCAGCAACCTAACTTCAGCTGTCGATCTCGTCTCTGCCCCAAGGAACCCGAAACGCGCCCGAGAATTTTGGGTCGGCAGCTGGGGGCTTTACTCAGGCGCTGGGGGGGCGGGTGGGGCCCAAACCAGAAAGCGTCGAATTTCCCGCGTTCGGAGTGGGAGGGGCCCAAACTAGAAGGCGCCGAATATCCTGCGTTGAACCCCCAGGCGGCCCTCGGGCGTGTTGTCTAAGGACCGTCCGTCCGCCCGACGTGGAGCCTTCGCACTATCAAGGGCTCGCGATTGCGGATCACGGTCGCCAGATGCATCCCAAGGCCAGTGACTAAACGCGCGCAATTTTGGCAATTGCAAAAATCTGCTCCCAACGTGCTTGCGTTGTGGCTTCAGTTTGGACCTTTGTGGCGGCTTCTTCTTCAGCACGCTCCTTGCAGGTATTGTAAGTCTTCATATCAAAGTCTTGGTAGACCTTCAGTACATTGGTTGCCTATGAAATATCCGTAACAAGGGGCACGTCATTACACGCTGAAATCCGAGCAAGCCCCTCCACGGTAGCATTCCAGTGCTTTTCTGATTTTTCCACCAGAGCAGTGTATATGATTGGTAAAAGCGTCGGGGCATGCTGCTTCGATAGACATCCATGATTAATCAGCTGGTCATTATTCCACAAAAATAAGGTCCTTTCTGTGACCTACAATTCTGACGCTTTCAGGCATATCTGATGCTCACATCTGGATAAATAGGACAGTTTCAAAAAACCTGAAAGTGCTCAGATGATAGACACTTGCGAATCTGCGCAGGGGATATTGCATCGGATTCTTTTTGGAAAAGTCTCGAAGTAACTTTAACTGTGAAATTCACCAGCTCGAAGAGAGCATCACGCACAAGGAGCAGTGGCTCGTGGCCAAGCAGCTCCAATATCTCTTCGAGCTCATTCATGACAAGCACCTGTTTGGCCGAGGAAGACCAGGGCCAATACCGGATGAGGCCGTTCAGGATTGGGACAGCTGTATCAGGGTCCTTCTCAACAAATTGGATCACGCAATAGGACAATTGCTGATGATACAACGTAACACATTTGGGAATATGAAGTGGGATCAGTGCGCATTGGAGAAATTGGAGATGCTCTCTTTTCAGGGGGATTGCAAAGCCGTTGATGATAGATCCCAGAATTTCCAGGAGCTCACCAACACCGTTATGCCGTTCAGTCTCATAAACGAAACGGTAGAATACATTTGATATAGTCTTGCGTATGAATGATCTATGGCTCATGAACTTGCCATAGATCCGGTGTAAAATCGTCTTCAAATAATCACGTTCACGCGGATCTTCTGAGTCAAATAATTCAATAAGACCTAATCAAAATCTAAAAACACTTCTTAATCATGCTAAAACTTCTGCGGGCAGCGATTGCGCACGATAACAGAAGTTTGCATCGACGTATTTCTTGGCGACTTTCGCATTAACCTCAGATGAAACGATAAACCGTAAGAAGAATTCATATACTACTTGCAGATGTGGCCAAGACGGTTCAAGAACAGGTTCGTCTTCCTCTGGGTCATAGTCTTCGGTTTGTGGTGGCAATGACCGGCAAATATTCGCCCTAACGCAATTCATAATTGCCTATACTGGGTACGTGAGAGTTCCTAGCGGATATCTTTCACGCATTGGTTGACAGGCATGGATGCCTCCGTAAAGATTTTCTGACCTGCAGATGTGTTGACATAATCGACCAGTTCGAGAAGTGTCTGGCGCTTAATCTCCTTCTCTTTTTTCAATGATGCTGCCTGTAAAAAAGTAATTGAAACAATGATTAGTATATGCACTCACATCTTCAAAATTGAAGACATGCGAACAGAGCTCCAGCTTTTGTTCAAACAAAGCCTCCCGCCTAAGAGGAGCAATGTTAATATCGGGAGGAGCAATGATAATATCGGCGCACTTTGCGGCTGGGTAGTCGCGAAGCTGCGGCAATTCATCCATCTCCTTAGCCATGGCCTGTTTGCTCAGGCTTGTAGGCTTGCGCAGTGTCGCACTGTTTCCTTGTTGGTCATCAACAACCGATTCTTTTTTTTTTTTAGTTCCAGTACTGAACAAATTCACCATAACCGGCGCTGCGGAATAATGGTTACGGATTGGGTAGCTCTAGTATTCCGACTCGGGGAACCGGAGTATTACCGCAGCGCTGCGAACTAGCCAAATCGGTATTATCGAAAGCCATCATTGTCAGAATCCGAGTATGCTAGTATGATGCACCAGCATAGTATAGCATGAGCATAGCCAGTATAAGGCAGACTTAGCATAGCCAGCATAGGCCAGTATGAGCGTCCCACTGCGGCATAGGGAGGATAGCATAGTCCCGAGTTATGTAATTAATCTAAGCCCCGTACATCAACTTGACGTTAAGGTACAGTCCGTAGTAGCAGGATAAGCACAGTGGGTGAAGGTCCAGGAAGACTCTCCGTCTATTACAGTGCGGGACGCAACTATAACAGCATACGGAGAATACCCCCCGCAAAATTTCCCGCGATCGAGCTAATCACACTGCAGGGGCGCCTGCCTTGTGCCCAACAAGGCTCGTCTAACCATTCGATACGAAAGGCCGAGTGTATCGTTTCCTAACGGTTTTGTATGGATAGTCCGCCTGGATCGCCTTCGGAGCCCGGATTTGCGCGCGCGCATCTAGTCCAGCGCACGCAAGCGCGCCGAGCTATACGTCACGGCAATGGCGTGCGGTCGGACGGCATTGGCCCGCGCTCACTACTCAAACAACGCAAACAAGATAAGCAAATACTTCATGACGGCGCCGTCGACGACGATTTGACGTCCGACGCTAGCTTGGACTTAGCCGGCGATGCAAGTGTTCCACAAGTAATTGATCTCCAGGTTGACGGTGTGCTTGTTCATGTTCCGTCTTCTCACAGAGTCTTCTTGTTATCTTCCCTATTTGCAGATGCCATGCTTCTTGGGAAGGCGGAGCGCGAAGGGCTGGTTGATTTTACAATATCCCAAGGCGAGGGTGATTTATACTCAGTCGTCCATATTTGGGCGCACAAGATGATTTTTGGGCACGTATTTAAATGGATCAGATTGATCCCTTCAACCAAGACACTATTGAAAACCGTTAAACACTGGTGTGGTTGTGTCGGTGTCACAGGTGCTGATAACAAGCAAGAGCCCCAATTAGAGCTATTTTGTAAATCACCACACCTCTGGGGGACATCACATGTTGGCCTGTATACACCTGTACCTCCGCCCAAAGCACGTGCTATTCTTCAAAGTGGCAGCGCAAAAGCGAGTAGTAGGATTGTCTACGAGGCTGCCACAATCTTTGCGGACGAGGATGACTTTAAGTGCGACAATCATGCTTTTCAGAGTTCAGTTGTACAGAGTTTCCATAACCGATTTTTTTGTGAAGGTTCATTGAGAGTCGGCACTGACCCACTAGAGCATTATAACCGGCGACCTCCTCTATGCTACTCTGCTGAACACAATTCACTAAGACAAAAATGTTCCCACCTTGAATTCATTGTTCGACAACCCGGAATCGCTGAACACCTCGCCACATCACCTCTCGCCGAGTTGAGCTTGCAAGTCAAACGCATTGCGCTTCTCGATCATCCCCTATTCAGCTCAGAGGATCGACTCTATGCGCAATTGCGTTTATTGTATGGAGAATATCATCGCCATCTAAAAGCTCAAAAGTGCAACTATTTCAAGCTCAGACTCCAAACATTGCTCAGCACAGCCAAATTGTGCGAGCAATCGACAGATCAGTGCCCTGGAAGTTCTGGGGCCAAACTAAACAAGAAATTAGGCATGGACTGCATTTTGACGTTGAGCATGCTAGCAGCCGAGGAGCAAAGTGCCGTCCAACTCGCTGAGGCCCTTTACACGACATGGAATCAACTCAAAGGTTTGCGTCAACACCAGCAGTTTACTTCAACGCCAGCAAAACTAGTCGCCATTAACGTTCGCGGTGCACATCATCCTAACTCAGCAACAAACCCGCTGCCTTCTAATGTGGAGCTGCTGGACAAGTTTGAAGCCATGCTAGGTTGGATAGCAACTCATGCCTGTTTTGAGAAGAATAACTCTGTCAGCCACTCAAGGACTAAACTTGAACACAGTTGTATACTATCTCTATTCAAGAAATATAAACGCATCCTAATTTCAACATCTGATTTTGTTTTGAAATTATACACAACCGCCGAGCTCACGTATGATGACAACAAAATTCTGCCAATCCAAGAGGTTATGCGTCGTCGTCGTGTCCGACAACAGCGCCTCTATGCAAAATTGGTCGCCAATGGACGTCAGGTTAATGCCATGCAAGCCCAAGCCATTGAGTGGCCGGCGTTTATAATTCAGCTGGACCAGACCCTTAGACTGAGAGTCTCAAAGCGACCTGTGCGATTTGAGATCCAACTTTGGCAACTGCGAGTCATAGCTGACTTACAACTCGCATCGATATTCGTACCTGTCCCTGGAATGTCTCCCGATTTCGACGCCTCGACGACTTATTCCCTTGCGCCAGTGACCGAGTGGATTCAATTTGCATCATCGCGTGTCAAATGGGATGTGAATTTTGTGATTGGTGATGATGTTGAAGTGTTCTTAGTCTCCAATAGAAGCAATACTACGCGGCTTCTCCATCGTATCACTGGCCAGGAGCAAAATGGAAGTGACGGTGCCTGGGTAGCTGGTGTCATAGTTGCTGTACGATGGAACTGTTATGATGTTCATGTACAAAATCGGCTTCTGCGTGCGATACCACCATCCCGTGTTCGACGCAATGGGGCCATCTTCGAAGTGCGCCAGCGCCAACTGACCGGATCAGCATTAGTCTCTCTCCAATGGGTAACGAATGACACACGATTGGGCGCCCTTGGGTGGGCCGACCCTCAGACAAGTGGTGGATATGCCGAAATGCCAAATCTCCCCCCAAGGCCAAAGGAAGCGCCCAGTCATTCGAATAGTGATAGGTGCTCGTTGTTAACAGCTGAGGCATCACACCCCTACTCGCACGTCTCTGAGAATTCATATCGGTATACTCGCAAAAGTGGCTCCTCGAGCTCCTTTGATCCCAATGACCCAAGGAATGCATCCTTACTAACTCGAGTCATTGCTAGTGCCATGAATATTTTGAATCTAATGCACGTCTTTCGCATTGATGGTGCAAACTTAAGATTAGGATTTTCTCCTCCAAAAAGCAATGTTCATGCTTCACATGAATCATCCTCTAGGGACATGTCTGAAGATCACACATATCAATGCTCTAGTTTTCGACACCGCCTGTTGCGCTTGAGAGCAAATCAACCCAAGCTTTTTACTGAGCCCATCCCAGCCTCTGAGGGTGCTTCTTTCGCGGACGCCCGGCTCCAAGGATGCATTGCTGCTAATGACAAGCGTAGTAAACGAGCAGTAAATGTGGATGAAACTACCAAGGGTGTTTCAGAGAATTTTAATGCAAGAAGTGGCAAAAAAACGGGAAAACACGTGCTTGCCTTTGTACAGAGGGTTCAAGACTGCGTCGCAGAACGAAGTCGCTCTCTGACAAATATGCGACTCCCCCTTGGTGCGCTCGTTAGTGAAGGAACCCCGCTGCCTCAATTGCGCAGTCGTGGCTTGGTTGATGTTGCTCTGGAATTTACATCTCGCCGCCGTCGATCGCTGAGGCCCCCACGGCAGCGAAGGTCGGCTATCGTACCTCTGGTCAACGACTGCTCCCTTCTTGTTCAAGTAATCTCTGCACACCACCGCCCTTTAGACCTAGAAAATACCACGAGCGATCAGACTGACTTCAAAAACTTACCGGCAACGAGCCGGCAAAAGGCAAGTAGCGCATGGTTGGATTCCGGGAGTTTTGTATCTGCTACCTTCCAGGAACACCGCCGTCGAACCATGCTGGCCATGGGACATACACCTCGGTGGAAGGAGATTCTCGATCTACCATTTACCCCACCCCTTGGTGACTTTTCCCCAACAAACCTCATGCAAGTGAGCGACACTTTAAGATTGGGTCTGTTCTCAGAAACAATGACAGCTTCGGCAAGATCGGTCGAGGGCCATGTTCGAACCAATCCCCAAAGGAATGACAATTCCGACGAGACAGGTGATATCACCATTAGGCGATCATTTGTGGGAGATCTGGAAATTCCTTTCACAACGCTGTATTGTAATGGGGGCGCCGAAGGGCTATTAGAGGGTGTTTTTCGTTTGAGAAATCCAGCGATCCATCTCAATGCTAGCAAGTTCCATGTGGGTCAAGAGACGCGGACTATTCAACAGGATTCAGTCATTTCATACATACACCTCGCCATTTTTCTACGCCCACCGTTAGCGGCACCCGATAAACTACCCGTGGTGGTGTCCTCACTGGAGGAAGAAGGTCTTATTCGCTATGGTGTCAACTGGGTTCAACAACTGCGACTTTTTCTCGAGAACATAAGTGATGTTGTAAAGCGACCAGTGGATAGTCGCATTCAAAATCGGTTAATCGAGGTCTTTGGAAACAACATGCAAGGAGATGCTGTGCTCATCTGCCGCTACCTTACACCTCAACAACCGCCTCCAGGCGTGGACACGTCCTACAGGGCCGCGCGATTTGTGAGTTTGATTCCATTTTTAGACGACTGGCAATCCTTTGGCTGCGCAAATCTCGACGTCTGGTGTACTTCACAAGAGTTTCTCGACATAGGCGCTGGAGACTGGGAAGAGCATGGAATTCTTCTACACAATTTTGTGTGGTGGCTTCAGCTAGAAGCCAAAGTACCTGCTTCCAGCTCGGACATCTTTCTCGTGATAGGATCCGGTATACCAGAAGGTGATACAGTCTATGTCATGCAACGACAACAACAGTACTCGGCTCTAGATGGCACGGGGATTCTCCTTTGGAATGCATGCACTGGTCACGTATTTAATGCCCTTGATAGACGGTGCCCGCTTGTAGACATTGGTTGCGTTGTCACTGGCGAAAATATACATGCCAATTTACAAGGGATCAGAGCATTGCACTTGCTCACTTATAACTTCAACGATGGGGAACTCTGGCGTCCGTTTTTTGCAACCAAGCCGCCTAATCCCATTGCGTGTGGTGGTTATGTGTGCGTATGTAATCCTGGTCCAGTCCAAATGTCTCGACCTGTGAATCTCATGTCAGTACAGGACCAACGACTGCTTTACGATGCTCCCGATATCCTCTACGCAGAAGCAATTCAAAGTGATCTTGCGAATGAGATCAAGGTGCGTGGCTTTTTGGGTATATTTGCTGAGTCTAGTTCCACAGAGGAGGGTGCGTCAGAGCCGTGCAATGCAAAAAGAGAAGCATGCAACTACATCTTTTAGCATTGATTTTTCTCGAAGACTACAAAAGTGCGTCTGGCATACCGTTCTTGCGTCATTCTTGTCTATTGCGCAGCTTACTACCAACACTTGAAAATTTACAAGAGGCAAATAGACTTTCACGTCCTGCACTTGAGCAACATAAGGCAGATGCTTCAGCCGAGGTGCAGATGTGGGACCTTGATGCTATGGCATTCAACGTGCCGTATACTGACACCAACACGATTACCTCACGCATATTGGCCACAAACATTCACGACAACCGACGCCGAGATGTTCAATTTGTCGTTGGAGTTTATGTGCATCCAATTATCCATCGTATCTTTTCTGTCAGTCTGCTCCGGATATCACTCTGCACTGACGCTGTTGGTTCGTAGGTCTGGGTTTACTACGGCACTATCAGCCCCAGGAACCCCTAGCCCCAGTGGGGTCAAGGGGGGAAGTTTAGTAGGCAATGAGGACAAGTACCCACCACCCACCCGCCCGCGCACTTCCGGGTGCGCCTGGCAGGCCTGCCGCTGGCGGGGGGGGGGGGTGTTTCCGATCTGCCTCTTATCTACTTCACCTCAGGCTTCATCCAACTGCACCTTCATCCAACCCAGTTTCGAAAACTAACTAGGTCGAAAACCAAGCAACCCCGGGGCAACTATTCATAATATTATGGCGAATTTGGCGTACCTTGACAAAGTGCGAAACGCGGCGGAGGACGCGTATATGACCGTGTCACAGGATTCACACCTACTTTAACTCGCACACAGGTATGGCCACGCACGAGGAATGCGAGATGAAACAGAGAGGAAAGTGTTTGAGGCGTTGAATAACAAGAACTGGGGCGCATCGTCCACGACTTTAAACGATATCGCAAGAGAGACGTATTCGTATGATAAGTTTCAGAAAATATTCAAGCTCATCTGGGAGGCTGCTGACTCGCCGCCCAGGAATTGGCGTAAGGTTTTCAAGTCTTTGATGCTTTGTGAATATCTGGTCAAGAATGGCTGTGAGCGTTGTGTTGATGAAATTCGCGACCACTCGTTTCGAGTACGCCAGCTACAGGATTTTAATTACTACGAAGATAAGCTTGATCGGGGCCAGGGAGTACGAGAAAAAGCTAAGCAGCTCGTAGAATTGCTCGTTGACAATGACGTAGTTCGCGAGGCGAGGGAGAATGCGAAACGGCTCCGAGATAAATTTGTGGGGCATGGCTCCGGGAATAGATTCAGTGGACAGGGCGGGGGATCACCTTTACGTGGCCATCTAAACTCGGGCGGGGGGTACTCTGATAACAATATCAGCAGTACCCGATACTCTGACAAGAGCGACTTGAGCGTCGGCGCTAGCTACTCGGACCGCAGTTCTCCATCAGACGCCTCTGGCCGATATGACTCAGAGCCTATAATTGAACCCACCGATCCAGCTCCATTGCGAATCAGGCCCAAGCTTAGAACAATGCCCCTCATCAAGTTGAAGTCTGATACTACATCAGGCACAGTGGTCGATACATCGTCGACGTCCGATCCTGCACCCATGCAAGATCTCTTCACGGAACAAGCGCTAGAATCACATTCATATATGGGCGCCACACACAGCGCATTACCTGCCCAAGACTCTGCCTTTGATCCACGCGGTGAAATCGTTCACTCTGAGGGCCACCCAGGAACATCAGGCGAGAGTCAATATCAGCCTTTTGCTGCATCTTTTGATACGCATATGCAGTTGCCGCAGCCGCCACAATCGCTGCAGCTGCAGCAGATGTCAAAGCCAGCGACCTCGATGGCATCTCAGCAGCCACCATTGGCTCAGTTACCGACGCAGCCTCAATTCCCCGCCTACTTGCAGCAGCCCGAAGCATCACCAGCGCTTCCTTTCGGTGAAGGATTCACGACGCAGGCGCCTGCAAATGATGATTTCGGTGAATTTTCGGCGTGCCCACAACCGACCGTACTACTGGCGGAGGCCACCGCCGTGCCCACAATTTCAGCAGACAACATGAGTTCCCTTTGCTCTCTCGATTCACTCTCACTAAATGGATCAACGCCCCTCTCAAATTCCCAAGCGACTTGCAATCGAGGCCTAGACAAGCTGGCCTACGCTCAACATGCAGCCTTCACCGGCCTTGATGGCTTTTCCACGGCACCACAGCCCATGCGTCCTAGTGCTATGCATCCTCCAGGCACACTGAAGCCTAACTACACTCACCCCCCCTATACCATGGGACAGACCAGTCTAAGCCCGGGCGGCCAATCCCAGCAGTCACAGCTCGCAGCAAATTATTCAACACAGATGTTTTATAACGGCCAGATTTTCCAACAGCAAGATTTGTGAAGGCTATTTTATTCGTGGAGTGTGTCGTTACTCGACGATACTTCACAAATGACCAGCCTCTAATATTACATCAGAGAAACCGATAAGGACTGGACCAAAAGACTCCTACAAGTTCACCAGCAGACTCACCTTCCATATGGTGTGCCCTCCTGGGCGATAGGTAGCGACGTTCATGTTCTTCGCCGCTCTCGCTAGTCGCGCTCATCTGCCCACTGATTGATCACTTTCTTCTCGATGCGAAGCCGCGTGCGCCCCGCAACCCCCCCCCCCCCCCC